GGTTTTTAGCGTTGTAAGTCCGCAGACATGCCGCTGAGCCACTGGGGGGCTTAATTTTATGTATTTTTGTAATGTACTTAATTTATACATGGACTGTATTATATATTTGTACATTTGGAAAGTATATGTATTTAATGTGGATTTGGATTATTCATGCTTAGTTGAAAAGCGGTACTTGTATGTTTTTAGTTAAAGATTCTCAGTAAAACTATTTCCTGAAGAGTGATCTTTGAAGTCAAGAAACAGGTGGAAGAAATTAACAAAAGAAGGGAAAAAAAGTCTGATATTCCTGTGTTTTCTTTAACATATACGAGGGTGAGAAAATAAAGAAATTACATTTTTGGATATAAATCACCGTTGAAAACTATGGTTGTAATTGATCATTGAACAATAGCCAAGAAAATAAATTACAACCATAGTTTTTAAAAGTGATTTATCACCAAAAGTCTAATTTCTTTAATTTATATATATATATATATATATTTGTGTGTGTGTGTGTGTGCGCGCATGTGTTAGATTACGTGTGTACATATCACACATCTATTGATCCTGTGCTACACAGAGACAGATCACTTGTCAGTATTATATATATATATCATTAATTATTTTCGGACCAATAATGTGTATTGTTAGTTTCATAAGTATATCATGCTTCATTCCCGTGTGATACAACAAGCTCATTTGTTTTTTATTAGCTTATTTTTTCAAATTTCGAGCTTTCGATTTGCTTAAGAATTTCGCGTAAAACTACACAAGGGCTATTTGCGCGTAGCCGTCCCTACTTTTGAGCATATAGACTAGATGCAAAGCACCTCGTTAATATCAACCACCGCCAACTTTTGGGATGTTATTGCCTGACCAAATAGAGGGACTTAACTGTCATTATTATAACATACCTATAGTTCCAAGGTATGCAGAACGCGATTTTATAGCAATTGGTCACGAACCTTGAATTTCCAGATTCACAGTCCGGGCACGCTAACCATTAGACTTCGACCGACCCAGATTGGTAGGACCTAGCAATAGTTTTGAATATAACCAAAGATCAGATGAACTCTTTCTTCGCCCTTTTGTTTCATATCAGTTCCACACTATAAATTTGGATTTGTATCTTTCCATTCTATTTATCAAGTTGATATCCAAACAATCGCAACAACAACAAATGTATTCTTTGATAAATTGTTTAGATTCATGATGAGCAAACTGAAATGAACGGCAACTGCCTGTTGTAAAAAAATACAAGTGGAGAGAATCATGTTTCGAAAGTTTTTCGTCTGAAGACAAAAGACTTTCGAAACGCTGTCCCCTACACTTGTGTTTTTACAACAAATACATCTGTCTCGTCAGGATATTTAAATAACCAACTTTTCAGTGCCAGACAGTTTTATTAAATACCGATGTTTGGAGTGTGTCTTTACTATTTCGTTTCCTCCACTTCATTTTTTATTCTGAACCATTCAATGTCTTAGCACATTCAACAACATAATTTACGTAAAACATAAATATAATATAAAGTGTTTTATAGCTTCTCATCATATTTTAATACGTCCTTACTCGATAGTTTGTTCATTATATCACAAGCACATTGTAAATTTTATAAGGTTATCAATTTGGTTTGTTTGTTATTAAGCGCAAAAATTATATAATGGGCTATATGTGCTCAGCCAACCAGGGGTATCGAAACCCGACTTTGAATTTTAGCATCGTAAGCCTGCAAACTTCTGTTAATAATATATAGGTAAATATGTTGTTTGAAGTTAAGCACAAAGCTACACAATGAGCTATCTTTGCCCTGCCCACTACGGGTATCGAAACCCGGATTATAGCGTTGTAAATCCGCAGACATACCGCTGTAATACTGGGGGGCGGTATGTAAATAACAATTTTGAAGCATAAGGAAAAGTTTTATTGGTGGTGGAACGTACTACTTGTTTCGAAAGAACAACGATCTGTCTTCAGACATGTA